CATATACGAATCAACGAATACAAGTTTAAACAAATAGGGCTACAAAGAGGCATCTTACGCTAACACTTGCATAAAATAAAAACACAGAAACTGTAAGCCATCCAAGGAGCAATGGAATCTTCAAATCCTAAGTCTTGTACCTGAAATATGCCCCAGTATCGTAGGGGTGAGTAATATAAAGCTACTCGTAGGAGATGAGCATGCATCGACCTAGCATTTTACAATTTTATCACCTTATGGTGAAACATGTTAAAGGGGCTCATGCCACCTAACGTCTATGTCAAGATGAGACCCAGGGAGCATCCTAAGCTACCTAGATCATTTATATCATAATCACATTGTTCATGCAATTCAAACAACATGGAAACATATTATACAAGCAACAAAATATAGATTCTCAAAGTCTTCAACTTGAAATCCAAAATACGAAAACAACAAGTGTGGGTCATGCCACCTAACATCTATGTTCAAAATGAATCTATAAGGTCATTCTTAAACTACATTTGAACATCAAAATACAAATTATGATATCGATGCAATTTAACCAACAATGGAACTTCCAATACAACGCATGAAGCATGCTTTCACAAAGCTACATCTTAAGCTCAAATATAGGAAATCAAATAAGGAACAACAAGTTACGATATCATCTAGTTATTAACTTGAAATGAAATACGAAATCAAACAAAGTGGATACTCGGACGTCACGCCGGATCAGACCGACAACATAGTTACTTTAGGGTTACTAGCCCATGGGTAACCTCCCTATGTGCGCACTAGACTATATAGAGGGACAATCCCCCGTACTAGAACCAAATCCTAGCCGTAGCCAAACAATGACATCTCCAAGTTTCCAAAATCAACAAATTGTGCAACAACGTATATATATCAACATGTATATACAAGATATCAACTATTTACCAAGCACAATCCAAATTTTGGAAACTTATACAATACATGCTCAAAATTCACAACTACTATGGCATGTAAGATGTCAAATATAAAGTGTGCAAATCCTTACACATAGCAACAATATATTCAATAAGGAAAAACATATTCTCATGAATATAAAAGTAACAACTATGTTATCCAATATTCAAAAGTAATCAAGTGAACATACCTCAAATCCAAATCCATGATTTAAATATAGAAACAACTTCCAAAATGCAATTAAATCCATGGAGTAATAAAGTAGAATTTAATTAAACATAAATAGTTAAATTCTCTAAATTCTAAGTTAATCCAAATAACCTCAATTTAATATATATTGAAAGATATGTCATTGTCATCATATATATAATATCAAATGACAAGTTAAGTGATTAAAACACTTAAAACAAAATTAATCAAGCTAATTAATTAATTTCTTCTAGATTTTTAAATAATTCCAAATGCCCTCAATTTAATCTATATTAGAGAACATGCTAAGGCCTATTTAAATATCACATTACAACTTGATTTAATGCTTGATACAACCATGTGAATTAAACTTTCACTAAAGATAAATATTAAATAAAAGTTGTAATTCTTAATCAAATGATCCAAATTTAATATATGTTAACCAACATATCTAAGCATAATTTCCTAGCATGTTACAATTCAAATCAAAGTTATACATCATCATAAATTTTAAATCTTATACAAAGAAATAAAAATTACTAACTTTCTAGATTTGATACAAAGCATACATATATGTTGTATAATCATGGCAAACACACAATACAACACATAAATAATCCTAAAACATTCCCTACCTCAATTGGAAAGAAAATCCCATTTACCACCGAAATGAAATTGCCCCAAATTTTCAGTCCGCAAAACAGATTTTTCAGCTTGCTACCTTCAACTTGTAAAATTCATAAAAAATTCAATTCGAACCCAAATTGAATGAATCCAAAGCCCAATGAAAGCTTAAACACTTTAATTTGATAATATCAATTTATTTTAACAAAATATTTTCCCAATTGAAACAGTTTTGCCCCACAACTTTGAAACAAATTCTGCCCAGAAAACACATTTTCAGCCTGTACCTTCCAACTTTGAAAATTCATTTGACATCCAAATTGGGCAAACCTAATTTACTTTGGAAGCAAACATATGAGAATGTAAAACTGGAAATTTAAGCCATGATCCAATGTCAAAAGGTTAGTGAAATAAATCATCTAAAAATATATTTTCCAGCTACAATAAAAACATGGACAGCAGATAGTTTTGGATTTTTAAAAAAATTTAGAAATGCTTTAAAATCGTGAAAAAATTCTAAGTAGTGTAAAACCCATGGGGGAAGTTCCAGTAAAAACTTCAAGGTAATTGAAGCACCATAACTCCATATAAAAAATTTATTTCCGGACCAAAAAGGAAAAGCTTCAAATTTCCAACAACTAGCTTGCAACTTCAAAAATTCATAACTAATTCATTTTAAATCCAAATTACATGAAACGAAAACTAAATGAAAGCTAATTGAGTATATTTTCATATTCTATATTTAATTTGACAAGATTAATTTCAAGTTAAAACAGTTTAAGGGCAAAATACAAGTCCTTCTCTTCCATGCATGTAAAACACTCAATAATGACATAAAAATACTTCAAAATAATAGATCAATACCTCACTAGAGAATTGAATCTCTAGATACCAAAGTAAAACTAGGCGTTAGGCTAGATCCTTCAAAAGTTTTGAAGAGGAGAGTGGGAGGAGCCTAAAGTATTCCAAGTTTAAAGTTCTAAGGTGAGTGAAAGGGCACCAAAAATGAAGTCAAAGCTACTAGTCAAGCTTTTCTCCAATGGTGGCTTCCTTAGGGTTCTTGAGAGGAAAGTGATGAATGAATTAAAATGTGTAAACCCTAAGCTAAATTGGTGGGGTTCTCCACTCACTAGGTGCTCTTGCACTACCTCTCTCACACACACTAATGCAAGACTAAAGGTGAGTCCTACACTTGTCATGAATCCAAGTAAGCTTCCAAGATTAAATATTAACCCTACACTTGTCAACCATCCATGCCAACAAGTACACCAATCCTAGGACAACAAGTAGGTGAATCTCCACCCTCCATGTGTCATGAGATTAAGCCTCCAAATGGTTCCACCACAAAATCAACAAATGGCACCACAGAATGTGACACTTATCACATTTTCTAAAAATTGCAAAAAGGTCCTTTTTGAAAATATCTTCCAATTTAATTTACAAAATGGTCCCTAAGACGAAAAATAATTACTTTACTTAATTACCCAAAAACCCCTCAAGTTATGGATAATTGCAAAAAGTCTTGTTTTTATGGCTTTTACAAAGAAAGTAAGCATTTAATATGCATTTCAACAAAAGTAAAAATGTAGATGTCATGGAATTTAAATATTATGAACGTATGCAAAACCGGAATCAAATTCGAGCACAAAAAATGAGGTTATGCAAGTAAAAGTGAAAAACGAGAAGAGGATGAAATAAGGAAAAGACGAAAAATGAATAATGTCAAAAAAACAAAAAAAATTGTGGAAATGACTCGATCGTCAAAGGAAGTTGTCAATCCAAAGGAAAGAGTCTCAGAAACCATTTCCGAGCATTCAAAACGATACTAAGAGGCGAGAAATCGAACCCGAAAAGGAAAAGATAATGAAAAAAAAAATTATCCGCAAAATTTGAAGAAAAAGGGAAAAGAAAGAAAATGACTGGGTCATTACACCTATATCTTCTCCCTATTTCTAGATTGCTATTTACTTACATTAATTTTAATTGCATTGTAGTTTAATTAACCAATCACCAACTATCTTTGATCATTCGACCTACTAATCCAACATTAATTTCCAATCACAAATACACCTCCTTTCCCTTGAGACGATCCTTACTCACTCTAGCTATATTTTTAGTTGGAAGCGGTAGTGGCATTTTCTAAATTTAAACTTGGCCACACTACACACAATTTGGTGCTTTGGCATGACACACACCATTGCCCTCATTCATTGAATTCAATTGGAATTGCTGACTCGTTATCGTTTACTATTGCATTTGCTAACTTTGATGAACCTTTACCTTTACGAGGACCCTTGTGAGTAGAAGGAGTTATTGAAACATCATTTGCCGAGGTGCTTCCACTATCATGATCGATTGGAACCCCACCAGAACCTCTAGATTGTCCACCTAACTGTGTATGGGTAGAGTTTGAATGTAGATCTGATATAGTAATTCCCTCATTTCCCGGAGTCCTTAATGCAACCATAATACAATTCCTCTCTCTTATTCCTCTTTTTGCACCCATTTTAGAGGACTTTATATGAGAACATATGCAAGATAAGAAAATAAGAAAAACTATAAAAATTTAATATGAGGCAACAAAAATATAATTTGAAATTGATGTATTAATTATTTACTTTTGTGGGACTATGCATGCTGAAATTTATGTATCTTTTTCCCTCTTCAATTCCAACTCCTTTGCTCTTCTAATGAGAATGACCTTTTTTTAAAAACAAAAAGTTCCAAAAGAAAAATAAACAAAGTATTTCAAACCATAGATATTTCAAGCATAACATTACATGTTGATGGATGTATAATTTAAATATCCATAATTAAGGGAAGATTACTAAATTAACGCACTATTCAGATAGGCTCTGCAGATTACGATAAGGATTACAGATTGAGATAAGCTTTACAGATTACGATAAGGATTAAAGATTGTGATAAGGATTAAAGATTATGATGAGGATTAAGTCTACAGATTACAATAAGGTAATTCTACGTGACATCTTAACCTAAGCCCTATAAAAAAGGCGGGGGAATCACCATTTTTAGGTACGCAATAAACCCTAACTCAATTTCTCGATTTCTCCAGGGAGATTATCATTCACACTGACTTGTTCGTCGGAGCCTGCTCCACCGGTAACACACCGGTGTTCGTAGGATCACTTTTTCTTCTCTTTATTCAGGAAGTCAGATCAGATCCAGGTTGCGCAGAATCCATCATCAACAGTTGGCGCCGTCTATGGGAACGATTTTAGTTCTCTAAATAAAGTATGGTTCGATTGCGATCTGGTCTGGTTGCTGGCGAATACGAAGCGTTGCAAACTTCTAATCAAGGGGACTCGAGGAGGCAACCCCCCGCCGTCCTAAACGATCAGGAACGTGTCACAGCGTTGGAACAACAGGTTTAAACCCTAAATAAGGGAATGAACCAATTAGTCCAGAAAAATTCAATGATTCTACAACGCTTAGCCGTAAATTTAAAGCGTTGTCCTCTACCTAGCAAATTTAACAGCCAACTCTTGAGAGCTTCGATGGGACGCGGGACCCTCTCGATCATTTGGAGGCCTACAAAGCTCTTATGTATTTGCAAGTCATACCGGATGAGATTATGTGCAGGGTTTTCCCTACCACACTAAAGGGTTGGGCTCGTCCTTGGTTCAATAAATTAAAGCCAGGCTCCATTGAAATCTTTAATGGTTAAGCAAACAATTCATTGGACACTTCATCGCTGGGCAGAGGCATAGGAGACAGCAACACACTTATTGAATGTGAAACAGCAGAAGGGAAAGCCTCTTCATGGTTACATAAGTCGTTTTAATGCTGATATGCTGCAGGTAAAAGAGGTGGACGACAAGGTTGCCCTCACAGCCTTTATGGGAGGACTACGGACTTCTAAGTTCCTATTTTCCTTATCAAAAGAAGCCCCTACAAGCATGACAGAGTTGATGGTTAGAGCATGGAAGCACATGAACGCTGAGGATGCCACGAATGCACAAAAAAACAAAGATGGTGAAGATAAGAGGTCGGAGAAGAAGAGGCCAGCACCTAACACTAGGGAGGAAAAGGAATCGAAGTACAAGAAATTCTCAAACAACCAGGCTGACAGATCGTCTCGCCGCCCAGTGAGCCCAGGCAGGTATAATAACTATACCCCCTAAATACATCTGTAGATCAAGTCTTTCTGCAGATTCAAGATGACGCATCATTGAAATGGCCGCCAAAGCTAAAAGCTGATCCAACAAAGAGGTCTCTAGGTAAATACTGTAGGTTTCACCGGGACCATAGACATAACACAGAAGATTGTTTCGACCTCAAAAACCAGATCGAAAACCTTGTTCGTAAAGGTCATTTACGCAAATTCACAACTGAAAATGGAAAAGGAGGCTCCAACCCAGCCCGGGAGGGCCGAGATAATCGCCCTCCTCAACACCAACCAATGGGTGAGATCAAAGTTATATCGGGTGGCTTCGCTGGTGGTGGTGAGACGAGTTCGGCTCGGAGGGCTCATGCTAGGAGTATTCGGAGTTTTTCAGAGGTGAATGAAGTTGGAATGACAAGTCCTCCAACAAAATTACCTCGAGTTGAGGAGCCGGTCATAACCTTTTCTGAAGAAGATGACAAGGGAATTCACCAGCCCCATGATGACCCCCTGGGCATACGAGAAATTGAAAATTGGCCGAGAGAAGCTCCGACCCATGAAATCACCACTGGTGGGATTTTCAGGCGATAAAGTACATCCACTGGGGGCAGTTACCCTTCCAATTACTGCAGGAGCCAATCCAAAACAGGTCACTGTAATGGTGGACTTTGTAGTGGTGGACTGCCCATCATCATACAATATTATCCTGGGGAGGACAACATTGAATGCCATGAAAGCAATCACGTCTACTTACCATCTCCTGATGCGCTTCCTAACTGAATATGGCATGGGAGAGCTAAGAGGGGACCAAACAATGGCTCGCGAATGTTATGTAGCCTCTCTTAGAAAAACAAAATCGTAAGAGGCATTTACGATTGAAGGGCTAGAAGGGAAAGATAGACCAGACTTTCATAGAGCGGAACCTACAGAGGAGCTAGAAGAGGTCATCCTTGGTGACGGTGAGCCCGAGAAAAAAGTGAGTATAGGGTCTTTACTCCCCCCAAGTATCAAAGATAAACTTACTCAATTCCTCAGGAAGAATTGAGACGTATTTACATGGGTCCATGAAGACATGCCGGGTATAGACCCCACTATCATGGAGCACCGCTTAAATGTAAATCCTGACTTTAAACCTGTCAGACAAAAGAGGAGGACTTTCGTTCCAAAAAGAAATCAGGCTATATCAGAAGAGGTGGAAAAGCTCTTAAAATTCGACTTTATTCAAGAGGTGTACTACCCCGACTGGCTGGAAAATGTGGTCTTAGTGAAGAAGGCAAATGGAAAGTGGAGGCTATGTGTGGATTTCACCGACCTTAACAAAGCTTGCCCGAATGACAGCTTTCCTCTCCTAAGAATCGATATGCTCGTTGAGGGAACGGCTGGACATGAACTATTAAGTTTCATGGATGCATATTCTGGATACAACCAGATATCTATGCACACCTCAGATAGAGAAAAATGGCCTTCATCACTGATAGAGGTTTGTACTGTTACAAAGTAATGCCGTTTGGGCTCAAGAACGCTGGTGCAACATACCAAAGGCTAGTGAATGCAATGTTTAAGCATCAAATTGGTAGAAACATGGAGATATATGTTGATGAAAAGCTTAAAAGCTGAAGACCATTCGACTGACCTGCAGGAGACCTTCGAGGTACTTAGGAGGCATAAGATGAAACTCAACCCCAGCAAGTGTGCCTTTGGGGTTTCCTCAGGAAAGTTCTTGGGATATATGGTAAGTAGAAGAGGAATTAAGGCCAATCCAGAGAAGATCCGAACAGTCATTGACATGAGATCAACAAGATCAACCAAGAATCTACAATGACTAACAGGGAAGATTGCTGCCTTGAGTAGGCTAATCTCTCGGTCAACTGATAGGTGTCTACCTTTCTTTCGTGTGCTAAGGAATGCGTTTGAATGGACCCCAGAGTGTGAGCAGGCATTCAAAGAACTAAAGCAATACCTTAGTTCTCCCCCACTACTGTCTCGAACCATACCGGGAGAGGAACTATACATATACCTTGCAGTCTCCACAACAGCTGTCAGTTCAGCTCTGATACGAGAAGAAGAAGGGGTCCAAAGGCCAGTATACTTCGTGAGCAGAGCACTTAGGGGTGCGGAGGAAAGATATCCAAGGATGGAACAGTTGGCCTTTGCTTTAATTGTGTCCGCCAGGAAACAGAGACCATACTTTCAAGCGTATACGATAGTGGTCCTAACAGATCAACCCCTTCAACAGGTCCTACACAAGCCAGAAAGCTCTGGTCGACTGATGAAGTGGTCAGTAGAGTTAGAAGAGTTCGACATTCAATATAAGCCAAGAACAGCAGTAAAGGCTCAGGTGTTGGCTGATTTCTTAGCTGAGTTTACCCCTCCAGAAGAGGAGAAACAACCCCAATTTTCGACAGAACCAGGTTTAAGTGAGCAGATGGGCCCAGAAGTAGTCTGGGACTTGTTCATGGATGGGTCATCTAATGTTCAGGTTAGCGGAACAGGGCTTGTTCTTGTCTCCCCAGAGGGGAGAAAGTATACAGTACGCACTTCGGTTTGGTTTCAACGCAACCAACAACAAAGCAGAGTACGAAGCCTTGATAGTAGGATTAAAAGTGGCAAATGCCCTAGGGGTTGAGCAATTACACCGACTCCGAGCTGGTCGCTGGACAAGTTCAAGCGGAATATGAGGCACGAGACGAGAAGATGAAGAGTTACCTACAAAAGGTGAAGGAATTAAAGAATCACTTCCAAAGATTCTCAATTCATCAAATACCACGAGAAGAGAATGGGAAAGCAGACGTTTTAGCCCGGTTAGCTACTGCATTGAACCTGAGATCAATAAGAATATACCACTGGAATATTTGGACAAACCATCTATATCTCAGGAGAGACAAATTGAAGTGCAACAAGCGATATTGAGTGTGGAATGGGCAGATCCTATCATCAGATATATCAAGGATGGGGTGCTACCAACAGACCGAGCAGAAGCTCGAAAGGTCAAGATGCGGGCAGCTAGGTATACGTTTATCAAAGGGGTGCTCAACAAGAGAAGCTTCTCCATGCCGTATTTATGATGCGTTTCTAGCGAGGAAGCTGACTACATTTTAAGGGAGATCCACCTAGGAGTTTGTGGAAACCATGCTGGGGGTAGGTCACTTACTAACAAGGCCATCCGACTAGGATACTATTAGCCCACCATGCAGAAAGATGCACTTGACTTCGTTCAAAAGTGCGACAAGTGTCAACGATTTGCCAACATCCCGAGACAACCGTCAGAGGAGATGACTCCCATGTCAAGACCATACCTCTTTCCCCCTTAAAAGAATGAAGGGTCAGCTTCATCTTCTTCCCTCGATAAAAAGATGAGGGGTTAACTACTTCCCTTGTTAAAGGGTGAGCTGAGTGAAGCTCATATTAATCTACTTCCCCTGTTAAAGGGTGAACTGAGTGAAGCTCGTATTAATCTACTTCCCTTATTAAAGGGTGAGATAAGTGAAGCTCATAGTAATCTACTTCCCTCATAAAAAGATGAGGGGTTAACTACTTCCCTTGTTAAAGGGTGAGCTGAGTGAAGCTCATAGTAATCTACTTCCCTCGTAAAAAGATGAGGGGTTAACTACTTTCCTTGTTAAAGGGTGAGCTGAGTGAAGCTCGTAGTAATCTACTTCCCCTGTTAAAGGGTGACCTGGGTGAAGCTCGTATTATCTACTTCCCCTGTTAAAGGGTGACCTAGGTGAAGCTCGTATTAATCTACTTCCCTTGTTAAAGGGTGAGATAAGTGAAGCTCATAGTAATCTACTTCCCTCGTTAAAAGGTGAGCTGGGTGAAGCTCATAGTAATCTACTTCCCCTGTTAAAGGGTGAGCTGAGTGAAGCTCGTATTCATCTACTTACCTTATTACGAGTTACGTGAAACTCGTCTTAATCTACTTTCCTTATTAAGGGGACGAGCTGACTAAAGATGTCAATAAAATCAAGTATAAAATAACGGTAGCATGCCAGCAGGGCAGCTTGCCAAATAATGGGAGCATACCAGCAGGGCAGCTTGCCAAATAAAGGCAGCATGCCAGCAGAACAGCTTGCCAAATAACGGCACCATGCTAGCAGGACAGCTTACCAAATAAAAGCAGTATGCCAGCAGGGCAGCTTGCCAAATAAAAGCAGTATGCCAGCAGGGCAGCTTGCCAAATAAAGGCAGCATGCCAGCAGAGCAGCTTGCCAAATAATGGCAGCATGCCAGTAGGATAGCTTACCAAATAAAGGCAGCATGCCAGCAGGGCAGCTTGCCAAATAAAGGCAGCATGCCAGCAGGGCAGCTTGCCAAATAACGGCAACATGCTAGCATAACAGCTTGCTAAATAAAGGCAGCATGCCAGCAGGGCAGCTTGCCAAATAAAAGCAGCATGCCTGCCAGGGCAACTTGACAAATAACGGCAGCATGCCAGCAGGACAGCTTGCCACGGCAACATGGCATGGCAGCTTGCCACATAACGGTAGACTACCAGCATGGCAGCTTGCCACATATACGAGCTGCCAATGTGGCACTACGACAAATATACAAGCTTGCCAATATACGACCTTGCCACGTATACGAGCTGCCAATGTGATACTATGACCCCCGACTGTATTCGCGAAATGACAATATAAGTCAGGCTAATGGACAAAGCTCTGCAATTCTAACTATATATTATTGTGTGATATTTTGGAATTAACGTTCCGGTGGTTTGACAAGCAATCCTCCGAAACGGGGGGCAACTGATGGATGTATAATTTAAATATCCATAATTAAGGGAAGATTACTAAATTAACGCACTATTCAGATAGGCTCTGCAGATTACGATAAGGATTACAGATTGAGATAGGCTTTACAGATTACGATAAGGATTAAAGATTGTGATAAGGATTAAAGATTACGATGAGGATTAAGTCTACAGATTACAATAAGGTAATTCTACGTGACATCTTAACCTAAGCCCTATAAAAAAGGCGGGGGAATCAACGTTTTGAGGTACGCAATAAACCCTAACTCAATTTCTCGATTTCTCCAGGGAGATTATCATTCACACTGACTTGTTCGTCGGAGCCTACTCCACCGGTAACACACCGGTGTTCGTAGGATCACTTTTTCTTCTCTTTATTCAGGAAGTCAGATCAGATCTAGGTTGCGCAGAATCCATCATCAACACATGTCACTTTTCCTCTACATATCATTACATGTAAACAAAGTACCACATATATATTACTTTCTAATCGACCTTAAATATTTTATATATATATATATATATATATATATATATATATATATATATATACTGTTTTCCCTATATTTTGAATATTTGTGTATACAAAAACATTAACTTAACACACTCAGGTGGTTTTAATCTTCGCAGAATAATTGATGTTGATTATGCAGCTAAAATTGTTATCTGCTTGGATTTTGTGAAGAACAAGGAAGTCTTGTGGGTTCAGTGGATGCATGCTAGAGATTTACAATAGGGAAACTTCTGGATGGCTCAGTCTAGAGTGCAGGATTCTTCTATTTGGAATCAAATTTGGACACAAGACAGTTTATTCTGGAAAATGTAGTTTTCGGAATTGGAA